CGCCCCGCGCCTCCTCTGCCGTGCCGTCCCCCATTCTCCCGGATTAATTAAGGAGGCAGCGGCAGGAGGCTGTGTCCTGGCCGCGGGCCGGGGCCGGGGCGCCGCTGGCAGGAGCGCTTGGGGATCCTCCAAGGTAGGAGAAACTTTTGCGGGGGGCGGGCGCCCAGGCCCTTCTCCCCTCTCCTCCAACCCCCGTGGCCCCCGCCCCTCCCCCTCAAGGTGTTACAGAATCTGGGTCCGGCTTTTGGGTGCATTGCGAGGCACGTGACTGGGATTATAATTCGGGCCGGGGGAGGGGAGGGACGGCCGCCCCCACCTGCCGGGAGGGTGTAGGAATCGGGAGCTGTCACCCCCGGCCCTTCCGGAGGTGGGGGGCGCCCCGGGAGGGCAACGGGCGCCTGCAGGCTGCTGCAGTTAGCGAATGAGGTCAGTTGTGCTGCCCGTGAGGCGGTTGGCTCCTGTATGGGAGCCGAGGGGGCTGGGAAGGCCGCGGTCCCCCCACCTCTGCCTTCCTCGGGCTGGGCCATCCCCTGGCCCGTGTCCCCCATTCGCAGGCTGAGTCCAACACAGCGAGTACTGCCCCAGCACACTGTTTGGGTCTTAGAGGAGGGGGCTGGCCTGAGCGGTAGCATCTGAACCCCTGGTGGGGGGGGGGAGGCTCAGAGGATGGCAGCGTGGGGGGGACAAAGGGTTCAGAAGAGCAAGTTGGGGCGCCCTATCTGTGGGTAGTGTTTGAGTTCTGCAGATGGGTGGAGAGGCCAGGCTGTGGAGGCGCCACAGGGTGCTTGATGTCCACCCCATCCTGAATCCCTCTGAATGACAGGCTTCTCACCTCTCCTGGGCTCCCCAACCCCACATTCAAGTAGGGAAAGGGATGATGCCCAGGGCTGGACCCAGGGCAGAGGGTGACCATGCACCTGAGCGTTCTGCCCTCCTGGCAGTGCTGGAGGGGACTCCAGCTCTGGAGGTCTGGCCCTGTGACCCAGCCTCCCAGGATCGGACCTGGGGTTGGAGGCTCCCCATCACAGCCAGTCAGGGAGCAAAGCTTGTAGGGTCTCCCTGCAGGGCACGTGGGGGAAGCACTGGCCTTGGATGGAGCGTGGTACTGGTGATGTGGGGCATGGGGCTGCCCTGGGATTGCTCTGGGCCTGGCAGCAGGGTGAGGGGCAGTCCCCGGACAGCGTCTAGTAGAGGAGTGGGCACTTGCCGGGGCTTCTCTTAACTGCTCACAGCAGAAGGAAGGGGTGGCCAGAAGCTGTTCTCACCTTCTTTGATGGCGCCATCTCTGTGTGTTTGGTGGCCTGGTGGCTAGGACTGCTTGTTCCTGAGCACTGGTCTTGGGCTTTGGGGCTTGGGAGGTGCCTCAGAGCAGCCCATTTATTTCAGCAGCGTCATTCCCAAAGGGAAAGGGCACCAGCATCGATTATTTATTTGGAGCAGGAGGCGGCAGTGGCCGGGAGGCTGGTGGCTGCTGGCTGGGAGGGGATAGGCACAGGACAGCGACAGCACGGATGGGGTCAGTAAGGTGGCCATCATGAACCACCCAGGATGGTTCGAGGTGGACTCTGACCTCTCCTGAACAGGGACAGGTGAACCAAGGGACAGGCCTGGCCCCAAGGCGATAGGATGTTGGAACCCACCAACCTGCTTTTCCAATGTGGGAGGCTTAAGACCACACCCCATTCTGGAGCCTGCTCTGAGTGACCTAGAAAGTCGCAGCTCTGACTCAGTGGTTCCCAGAGGGCGCCAGCGGAGGAAACCAGGAGGATTGGAACTCTAGCTGCTCATTCAGAATGTGGGAGAACTTGGGGGTGAAGGTTGTAAAACTGGGCCTTGAAGACAGCATTATAGGGGCACACTTAACCTACTTAAGAGGACTGTTCTCTAGATGCTGGAGGAAGGGACATTTATTGCAATGTGCTAATCACAGATACTTTTTATGTGTTCATTTAAGGCAGCCTCCCAGAGCTGAACTAGCCCCTGACCACGGTGACAGTGCTTGAAATAGTCGGGAAGGCAGATGTGAACATAGGGGTCTCGGAGGCAGCTGTTCTCGCAGCCAGCCTGGCTCCGGCAGCCAGGGTGGTCACAGTTTGGTAGTGGTCTGGCTATCAGAGACCCTCGGTGAGGATCTCAGGGTGACATGGTGGGTGATGGATGGTTTGGGGCGATCATGCCCTAAGTGTGACCTTGGAACCACAGACCACATCTACCTCACCCTCATTCTCGGTTCTGATTCATCCTCTCCTGCTCTCATCTGCCCACCCCAGGCTTCCTTGGTCCACTCATTGAATCCTGCTGTTTTCCTGAATGGCCTTTGCACATGCTGTTCCTCTTACCTGGAAGGTTCTTCCTACCTTTCCCCTGAGGGGGATAGTGAGCTTCCTATAATGGCGGTGCCTGGCTAGGATTGGGGGACAGGGGATTGTAGAATTTGTTTTTTTCCTCTCCTTGGTCTGAACTTAAGCTGGCTGTCACGTCCTCAGGCTGGAAGCCTGAGTTGGTCCCCAGAGCTGGCCAAGGTGCTACCTCTGTGTCCCCAGGCTATCCTGTCCTTCCTCTGTCCCAACGTTGATCTCACTCAAAAGTTACATGACTGCCTCCTCAGTTGCCCTAGGGACAGGGCAGGAACTGAGACTTGGTTTTGATTCCTTGGTGCCCCGGGGCTGGTACCCAAATACTTGTTGAATGGCTGCTTGAGTGAATGAATGAAGTCCTGCTCCAGAGCCTTGGCCCACATTGCTAAGCAGACTCCCCTGTTCCTAGATACCCGCCTGTGAGGCAGGTCCCCCACAGTGGTGGGAATCCCAGGTTCTTTGCTTGAGCTTCCTGCTCTCATCATCCCAGGGCCCCCTGTCTCCCCATTATCCTGGCCTGTGGCTTCTCCTGAACCTGAGCCTGGGGCTTTGCTTCCCAGGTGTCATCATTCGCCCTGCTTCTCTCAGTCCTCTGACTCGCGGCCATTCACGTGCATCTGTCTGTTTGATGGCCGGCAGCCAGGGACGCAGTCAGGTTCTTTGGGACAATCCAGGTGCATGTGCCCAGCACAATGGGGCCCACAGAGGCCTTAGGGGGTACCCAGGAATAAGACCTGCAGGGTCAATTCACAAGCACCAGAGAGCAGAGCAGGACCCTGAGCCAAGGGCTCGGGACCTCAGAGGATGTGGGGCCCAGGAGCCATGGATCTTGGGGAGACTGGAAGGGAATTCCCAGCAGGGATTCATAAGCAGGGGCGGAGTGGTAGGAAGCGTTTGTCTGTGTGGGAGAAGGAGGAGGCGAACCTGGTCAGAAGACAGTGGGTGGATTTCCCCCTCGGTGGCAGGATAACGATGGAGACTTCTGTGTGTAGGTGTCGGTGGGTCCCAAGGGGAGTCAGCCCTTGTCACTGGGCACCCAGGTTCCTCATTTGCAGTGATGTCTGGCTGGGACTCTCTGTGATCCCAGTGCTCACCGGGGTCGGTGTTGTGTCAATTCAGACTCTGTGCTGTGGGTTATAGTAATGACAGCAAAAACCTCAGAGACCTGGGGGGAGGGTGGTGCCAGGGGCTGAGCCTCTGTTCTCTGGGGTGAGTTAGATTTCCCGAATGAGCTGATGAGGCTGTACTTTGTCCATCCCAGACTTGGGGTGACTGGTGGAGTGTCTCAGGCAGAGAGTAGCCCTCTTCTTCCAAACACCCTTCCTCTTGGGCTGGAGCTGGGCTTGGCTGACCCAGAGCTATTTGCATGCCCACCTGTCTCCCTCCTTCAGGACCACCTGCTTCGGGTTGCCAAATTTAGCTAATAAAAATAGGGATGCCCAGTTAAATTTGGATTTCGGATAAGCAGCGGATAATGCGGTATTAGGGACATCATGACTTAACTAAAAACTCATCCTTTATCTAAAGTTCAGACTGAACGGGGGTGGGGTGGGGATGGGGGGGGGTCTTGTGTTATCTGGCAACCCTACAGCTGTGGCCTCTGGGCAGTGAGACTGTTGAGGGCTGGGAAGGGGCTCAGGGAGTGACTGGGGCCTGGAGTTGGGGTCAGGGCTCAACCGGAGGCTGCGGGGATGGTATGGAACGAGTTGGAGTCAGGCAGCACTGACGATACATTCCTCGGTCAGGCATTCTCCAATCTGGGGTTCAAGGTCCAGATCTCCTGTTATACCTGGTGGTGTGGGGGCTCAGGGTCCCCAGTCTGTGCAGCCCTGGTTTTGTCTTGTGTGCCACTGGTCCATACGGCACAGTAGGAGATGCTGGGAAGAGAGAGGTTGCCAGGGACACCCTATAAGAAACTAAGTCAGGATTTGCAGTCAGGACTTGCAGAGCCAGACCTGATCACTGGAAGGCTGTTTCTCTGATAACCTACCTTCAAGGTTTGGAGGTCCTGCCTATCAGTCCACCAGCCAGTGAGGTGCCAGATCTCTGGGGTCTTAGGTCCTGGCATACAGCCCCAGTCCAGCAGGTAGGAAGGGCTCACCCACCCCTAGTTATATAGTTGTTGAGGGACGAAAGACAGTGAAATGCCCAGGTCTCAAGTATGCCATCCAAGGAGCTTGACCAATGCATACTCACGTGGCCCAGACATTCCATCTCCTTCCAGAGCTCCCTCAAGCCTGTTTGTAGCCAGCCCCCTC